TTTCTCTGTAGCTGCAGTTGACTTTCATTCTTGAATGCAGGTGGGTTTCTAGCAGTCGGTGTTTGTAGCCAGTGTCGTGTGTTCGAGTGGAAACTTGCTGATGAGACGAGAGCGAGTTGAAATTGAGAAGGGAGATGTCTACAAGCTGCTCAACACCGACCACCCTGTGATCCTGCACAGAAGAGAACTTTTGCTCTCTTCATCTGTCTTGATGGCTCTTTTTCCTGTCCAATATTAAATTCTGGTGGTTTATTCTCCATCAGTTTTCAGTATTCCTCTCTGTCCAGTTCCTTTCTGACAAACGATGAAATCTCTTAAGTTGCAATATTTGCATTTTAGCATATTTTAGCTTGAGCTCTTAAAAAAACAGTGGTTAGATAATTCTTTCTTATTTTTTCTGTATCTCTCTAAGCTGTTTTAGTAGCATATTGACTTTTTGATGCTTACGATAATAATTCTGAGGAGTTGTAATTCCTCATGTTCATGCACGCACACATATACACAGATCAGTTTTAAATTAACATCCTTAGTTTCTGCCACTGATCATTTTAAGAGGTTACCTTATCTCAGTCCCCTACCAAGAATTATACTTTTCAGCTTTGAGGTTTTTAGCTCCTAAACCGCTTTTCTTCCTTGCTTGTTAAGAACTTAGCATGCAGTTTTTATAATGTACAACCAAATATAAAGCTCTGAGTATGGTAGAGATGCTGTCCTTAAATGCATTGCTCCAAAGTTGTTTCAGAGTAGCTCTAACTTGAAATTACCTGCCATTCACTGGAAGTTCTTCTCCACGATGGCAGAAATCGATCTGGGGTAGTTATCAGTCTTGCTTGCCATAGCCTGCATGTTACATGGGTTATGATAAAGTTTGTAAGCAGTGTTTTTGTGGAATGCTGTTTAAAAATATGTCTATATAAAATACATATAAAAAGTATATGAAATATAAATCATCGTGTAAGTAAATGAGAGCAGAGCTAAATGAAAATTGTTAGGATTCTTTGGGTCAGGTGTAGGTCAGGTTAATTACCTGTGTTTTCTATGTGCTGATGATCATGTTTCACTTTGGGTGAGCTGCTGCAGCGCGCTCAGCACTGTCCTAAATTCTCATCAATCTGCCTGTCACTCTGCTCCTGGAAGTGCTGAGAGAAGTGACAAAGGAGAGCTCTGAGATGTTACGGGATGAGAAAAAGCATCTTGCATCTCCTCTTTGCCTCTCCTCAACCTATTGCAGTGGCTAGCCCAGGTGAATTTTTAAGGATGTTTTTACTCCTAAAGGTATGAGATAGCATAGAAAAATGGAGTTGTGGAAATTACTCTGTTACACTCCCACACCCACCAGGACAAAAGGACCCGTCTAGCTGCCTTTCAGAACAGGGTTTTGTTGGGACCCTTATGGAGGGAAGAGGAGAGCCCTGCGCAGACCCGCGCCGGCCTGCGGGGCCTCGCGCGTAGCTGCCGCGCGCTGGGCTAGTGCTGGTCTCTAGGGTAGCCACCAGCTGCTCACTGAGGCTTCCGCCATCCATTTAGGAAACTTCTTTGCAACCTAGTGTTTGAAGAAAGCAGAAGAGCAGGAACTTGTTGTGCTGTCTCCTTCTGGGGCTGGTTTCAAGCCTGGGGGTTAGGTGAGCGAGAGGGTAGCCAGTCCCACGCCAGCCCTGCTGGGATTCCCAGTAATTGGAGGACAAAGGAGGAAATTAAGAAACTAAACTTGTGTGTTTACTTCTGTCCAAATGCAGGAAAAGATGTGGAATGGGATAAACTCCAGGGAGATGCAGAGTGATCCAGACTTGATTAGAAATAACAGTAAGCAAAGAGTGACTGAAGTGCTGTCCTTGCAGCACAGCAAACCTTCCTGGCCTGCCTTTGTTAGCATGTGCAGAAATGCAACCACCTTCGAGAAACAGAAAATCTCATCAAGTCAGAGGCAGAAGTTGTGGGAGAAAGTAACTCAGTATAATTACTTGTGTGAGCTTCCTTCCATGTAGTTTTATAGTTGTGCTCTAAACCACAGTTCTCCCATTTTAATTTGCTTAGGTGTCGTGGAAGAGACTGCAGGTGCTATTGCAGGGGCAGATACTCCTAGTCAGCTAGTGCAATCACACAGAGCACTAGTAGTGTGCTACCTCTCCTTCCAGATTCCCTGCCTTGCATTGGGCTGCCTAACAACACTGGGGACACTTGGTTGTCCTCCTAGAGGAAAAGGAGAAGAGAGAGAGAGAATTTCATTATTTTTTTTTTAAGGACAGATTACTACTTTTGATTTTACCTCTGTCACTTGCATGATTTCTTAAAAATTATAGAGAGTACAAGTTCCTCATAAAGTAGCTCCAGCTCTTGTCATCCAATATGTAACCTGCCATTAGGGGACTGGGTGGCCCCAAATTTGTGTAGAAATGCTCCCTGCTTTGCATCCCAGCCATAGAGGATTCCCACTTATAAATAATGCCTTTTTTTAAAAAAAAAAAAAAAAAAAAAAAAAAAAAAAAAAACTACTCCAGGAAGTGCTAGAGACTGGCAAATATCATGAAGCTGCTCGCCTCAAAAGTACATGCCAGGAATTCCACCTCAGTAACAATAGACATGTTTACTATTGAGATGCCTCTTACATAGATCAGAGTAATTACCAGAATGGCAAAATCTAACTAAAACGGAATGTGTGGGGAAATTAAGATGGAAATGAGTGAGTTCTTGCCAACATTGTGTGGAGACTTTTAAATAACCTCACATGACAGCTCTTCGAAAAATGATGTTGTTAGAATCTGGTGCTGTATTTTGTTTATTTATTGTTTTTATCAGTAAAAAAAAAATGGAGCAAGTGTTGTTTAGATCAGCCTTGCAGGTATTCAGAGGGTCATAACTTTGAGCTTTGTATCATTGTCCATATGAGAATATATAAGAATTCTGAACAATATTAAGATTTCTGAGATGCTTGTTAGATATGTTGAAACTCAATAGTCACCCCTTTCCTGCCATCCATTTTGATTGTGCTATAATAAGAAGCCAGTTTAGAGCCCTTTAATTATCTTAGCCAGCCCCTTCTCAGATTGTAGTTGCAAATCTTTGTAGCCTAGATGCCCTTTTTTGAGAGAAGGAGGGGAAGAACTGAAAGGGAGGGCACTGAAATGAAAAAATGGGATTGAGGATCCTGAAGAGCGTTTGCAGTTTTGAAAGTTTAAATATTTCATCCCACCCATTCAGATTTAGGGTTCTGGGTATTCTAGAATTAACTTTTTCTTTCCCCGCATCTGTTCTTGGGTTACTCAAGTATTAGCTAGAAGGAGCATTTGATTTTCTGCATCTGCTTGGAATCTTTTAGGTCTATGGAGATTTCTAGACTTGAGGCAAGCTCAGCGGGAGGGGTTTTCTGACAGGATCCATAGAGAGCCAGAAACCTTGGGACTTGGGAACATGGCTCTTCCTGGAAGCATATGGGTCAAGTCTAAATTCCTCAGAAAAGCTGAATCACTGGATGAGTAACTGTCCGTAACAATCAGATGACAGAGCATCATGTGACTTTACCAGCAGTGGCTTGAAAAGCTTTAGGAAAATAAGGATCTTACTACAAAAAAGTTTAGGTTTTCTGACTCGGTGTACATTGCTGTTTGAATGTCAGAAAATGCTTTTGTGGTATGTCAAACACTGTTGGGTTTTGTGGTTGGAAAATAGTACTTTCTGCTTTTAAAAATCTATGCAAGGTAACCTGATCTGTTTTGATTCAATATAATGCTTCAAGTACTGTATTCTTCTGCATTCTAGATATCTAGATTTTTTTTTTTCAGTGCTCTCTTTCCTCTCTCCCATTTTGCTATTGAAAACAGAATTTTCTTGTAGCTTTAGCATTAAATCCTTGGAAAGCGTGGAACTTTGGTCTCCCTTCTGTGTATGAAGCTGGTACTACAAAAGATGAATAAGCTAACACATTGTACAAAAAAAATACTACTAGAAAAGCAGAAAAGCAAATCAAAATGTGTAATTCTTTTTACAGGTATCTGTAATAAGACACATTCTGTGCTTTCTTACATCTAGTTTTGCATGGACAAGGACATTGTTTGTTCATATGAAATACAAAGATGAAGTGAAAAAGATGATCTTAACTAGCTTGGTAAAATATGAAATAGTTTTAAGTCTATGAATGAATGTTTTTGTTGGTGGGTTTTATTATGATGTGTGAAGTGTGTGTCTGTCATAGGAGAACAGAAAAATCCTTTGTAGTAGTTAAATCTCTTCCTCAAAATGGAAATAGTGGTGTGATAGTTTTCCAATAGTTAAAATAGCTTTAGAATACAAGCAGGGCACTCAGAAACCTTACTGCCAGAATGGGAGGGGATGTGGGGTAGGGAAAAACTTGGGAAACGGTGTGAGGAAGGATTCATTTCACACATCTGAAAGATGCAGAGCTCTGTGGCAGGGGGGTGTAACGGGGGAATGCTTATTTATGTAGGTTCTGTTTAGACCTAAAGACTGTATTTCAGTCTATTTAATTTCAGGAAGATTGTTTTGTTTTCGTTGTTCATCTGAGAACACATTTGTGCATAGCACTTAACGTGAATAATAATACTCAGTGCAACAGGAGGTTGCCTCTTGTGCGTCTATGTTCTGTGCTCCCTTAACGTGTTTGAAATTAAAATAAGTTTTACTGATTTCTCAGCAGTTATTTGGAAAGATAAAGGCAAGCAACAGTTTACTCACCAGTATTTCTAATGCAAAACAAGCACAGAAATAAAATGGGATTCTTTTTCCTATGAGAGAAAAAAGACTTTAATTTTTTTGTTTATCACAGAAGAAATCTTATTGATAACAACACTCTAGTTCTTTCTTCTGGTGTGCTAATTCTTCCCTTCTTTCTTTACTACTGCCTGCATTTTTACATCTAACTAGAATATTTAAGCAGAATACTAAGTGTAGTCTGTCACCCAAATTCGTGTGTGCCATTTAATAATTCCAGTGCACATCTGAAAGAGAAATATGGTGGTGATGATTTTTTTTTTCCTTCTTTCAAGGCTCCTGCTAAGAAAGATTCTACTCAAAGTACTGTCAAAGAAGACAAAGTCCATCTGTTGAAGTATAATATTGGAGATCTAGTGTGGTCCAAGGTGTCTGGTTTTCCGTGGTGGCCATGTATGGTTTCTGCTGATCCTGTTCTTCATTCCTACACTAAACTAAAAGGTATGTCAGTTATGCTACAAACATCCAGATTTCTTTCAGGTATATGAAAATATTATTTGGGGGAGAATTCTTTACTTCATTTTATCTATTCGGTGTTATCACTGAACTAGTTCCTTATTATCAAGAACGATGTTAAATCATGTACGCACTATTCTTGACCATATAGCAGCCATATTTTTGACAATACAGCACTTTTTCCATTGGGTTGTTTTATTCTTTATGTGAACATGAAGATCTTGAAACTGTGATTTGTGAAGCTGCATGGAGTGGGGTTTTTTTGTTTGTTTAAAAATAAAAAAGGCATACATTCTGCTGTTCTTGTAGAGACGCTTTGCAGTACGATGGTTATACTTTTTTCAATAATGCTTAAGAATGAATTAAAAATAACTTTCACAAAAGACTTGGGATAGATGTTTTTGAAGTGCTGTGGGGCTTAAAATAATTTGAAAGCTAATGGGAATTAAATACTTCTGATGACTCTTCTCCATGAAAACCAATTGTTATTTCAGACAGTTGCATTTTCTTTGTGCTTTGTAGAATCAATAATTATCTACAGACAAAACTGATCCTAAATGTAGAAGCTACCAAGTGTTAATTATTCATAAATAGGTATCCATGCCCATTTCTTTTTCTCATTTGTAGTTTCTTCTTCCATTCTGAAATCTGAAACTTCTAGTGTTTATCTGTGCTAGTTGTAGAAGGATAAAATAATTTAGCCTGTTCTCTTGGCTCCAAATAGCCAAGTTAGAGCAGGCTGCTTAGGGCCTTGTCCACTCAAATCTTGAATGTCTCCAAGGATGGAGACTGCACAGGCTCTGTGGGTAACCTGTGCCAGTGGCTGCCACTGGCACACTCTGCCAACCTTCATTGTCAGAAGACTTTTCACTTGTATTTAATTGAAATTCCCTTTGTTTTAGCCTATGTCCACTGCCTTTTATGTTTCCCCTGCGAGTGTCTGAGAGGAGTCTCATTCGGTTCTCTAAGCCCCCTGTTAGGTAGCTGCAGAAAGCAGTAAGATATTTTCAAACCCCAGATGAGTTTGCTGAGTCTTGAGAAGAAAATCATGTCTGAGCATCATAGTGTAAACCATGTGCTCCACCTTCTATCACCTCACTGACCTCTGCTGGATTCCCTTCACTGTGTCCATGTCTTTATTGTACCAGAGAACCCAAAACTAGACATCATATTGCTAATGTGGTTGTACGAGGATTGAGTAGAGGGATTTAAGCACATCCTTCAACCTATTGGCTGTGACTCTCCTGATGCAAGTATGTGGCTTTCCTCATTTCAAGGTTACACCGTTGATTTGTTTTCAGTTTGCTGTTTACAAGGACTGCAGGTGGTCTTTTGCAAATCTTTCCAGCCAGTCTGTGACCATCCATGTGGCTGTATCGTGTTATTCTGTCTCAATAGCAGTGCTCTTCATTTGCCTTTTATCAAATTTCATGAGATTCCTTCCAGCCCATTTCTCCAGCTGATATAGTTTTTCCACATAGTGCCAGAAAATTGACTACTTCTCCCAATTTAGTATCTTCCCCATAAAACAGATACCTTAGTATCTTTAGGTGACTAAAGGTGCACTTTGTCGTTGCCCAGATTCTCCATAAATATGTTAAACTGTATCTGCCTTACTATAGGTTTTGAGGGACAGTGCTAGTAACAGGCTACCAGTTGGGTTTTGCAACTATTGAGAACACTTTGAGCCAGTTTCCTTCCACTTTTCCAAACCAGCTCTCAACAATTTAGTTATAAGGATACTGTGGAATGCCAGGTCAGTTGTCCTCATTAAAGTAAAACTAAAGAGCACTGCTTGTCCTTTGTCCCCTCATAGAAGGCTGTCAGGTTGATCAGGCGTGACTTGCCCTTCGTGTGTCAGTGCTGCTGTTCCAGGCACCTTCTTGTCTTCTGTGTGCCTGGACGTGGCTTCAGGGAGGATTCGTTCCATAATTTTGTAGACGCAGAGACTGAGAGAACTTGCTTGTAGTTCACTGGATCATTCTCCTTGCTTCTCTTGAAGATAGGTGTGATGTTTCCCGTGTTGGCCTTTTTCTGGTCATCACGGATCAACCCTAATGGCCGAGATCTTTCAAAAATAACACAGGACAGCCTTGCTGTCACATTAGCCCAGCCTTTCAGAACCTTCTGATGCATCCCATCTGGTCCTGGTATGTTCAACTTGCTTAAGTGCTTCCTGTCTTCCTCTAGTGTGTGTGATGCCTCAGTCGTCCAGCCTGTGCCTCTAAGCTGAGGGACAAGGGACCTCGAGGCTTCAAGGTCAACCTTAACCGTGTGTGTTTGTTATTGTTGTTTCTTTTTGTTGTTAGACCTTTTGTGTCCATCATCTGTAGGTCCCCTGCCCCAGTGAGCATTCTTCTTGCCTTTCTTGCTGCTCACTGTGTTCCTCACTAGTTTCAACTCCAACTGAGTTCTGTAAACTATCTTTTTACTATATTTATGTCAAACCACACCAAAATTAAAAATGGAACCCAGAAAAATTTGGGGAAAAGCAAGAAGTTAGTAAGATTATCAAACTGAGGTAGGAGCACATCACCTTATTTTAACATTTATGTTTCTAAATATTTTCATGTATTTTATTAGATCAAGAGAAAGTGTCAACTTCCTTTCTCTTGGACAGAATAGAGTATTTTAGTGTCATCAGATTTCAGTAGCTTTTAAGTCAGTATTTCCAAGTCTGTGTGTATCTTCATGTTTGGTGGAGGTAAGGATAAAATTGTTTTAGGTTTTCTGCAGTGCTCATGGATTGCTTTGAGAACTTGGAAAATGGACTGTAGTTTACTTCTGACATGGGCATTAAAATTAAAAACTTCAGGATGGAGTAAACACGTTGTATTAGAAGTTGGAATGATCGTAATGATGTCATGCAGCCTGAGGGGGGAAAAAAATGCAGGTTAGTAGGAACAAGTGCAGACTTTTTTAGTTTGATCTGATCAATCTGGGAAATGAGTGGAAAGTTGTTTTTTTGCAGAAAAGAATGTGGAAGTCATAAACTAACCCAATGCAGATCTGTAGCAGAAAGACCAAAGTCATGCTGACGTGCACAAATAATGCTGTTTCTTAGATATATAAAGGAAGTGCATTGCTTCTTTTGCAGTTGCATGGCTGCAACACAAGTACTTACTCGTTCAGTTTTCATCCATTTCATGCGTTCATCCGTTTTTGAGCTGTGTAATTTCAAGAGATGTGGATTAAAAGGGGAATATGCAGAGAAAGGGAGTGAGCATGAATAAAATCTAGGAGTCTTAGTTGGGAGGACAGACTCAAGGAACTGGCATTGCTTAATTTAAGAAGGAGAAGCAAAAGAAAAACATGTTAACGGGCTTTAAATAAAAAAAATCAGTATTAAGAAGAAAAATTACAAGCTCTTATCACCCTGGGAAGGAGAGCTTCATAGCAAGGGATATTTAGACTACAGGTTAAAAATAGCTCTGAAATGATAAAGATAGTGAAGAATGGGAATAGATTGCCTGGAGAGATTGTGTTTTCATTCACAGGACCTTTTTTGAACAAATAAGATGAATTCTGTAAGATATAACTGCACTCAGTGTTGGTAGTGAACTAAATGGCTTCTTGGGATTCCTTCCAAACTTTCACACAACTGCTAAAATGATTTTTGATATCAGAAGATCCCCAGATAATTTTTCCAGTAGCAGTCTGATTTTAGAGTTTCCATCAGGCAGTCCCTGTGATTTTGGTCTTTGGACTACTTAAGTCTATTACAACATAGAAGACCTGGACTTGAAGAGAAATAGAGCTATCTGTTCCTAACCAAATTTCTCTGTTCCTTCAAAGGAACAAGGATCCTGTTGCATTACCAAGAAGTTGTGTGGTAGCTTTTTATAGAAAACTATGAAAACAAATCAGTAAAAACATAGCGATTTCCATGAAGTACTAGCAGAAAGAGGGACCTGTGTATTTTGGAGAATTCATTTCTGTGTCTACATATATATATATGAGAGATGTCTTTGTAACTTTGCCTTTCCTTCAGAAGTTCCACTAGGTCTGGGCAGTCACCATAACTGATAAGCGCAAACTGATGATGTTCAGAGCATTAATACCCGTTTTCAGTTTTATTTTCCACTTACCCTTTTTTCTTGAGGGTCTGTCAAAAATTCCCTCCTTGAAAAAGAACAGTTCCTTTATTTGAGAGCTGTGGAAATATTCAGCTAGGTCTTTGGTTCTCTAATTTTTAGGTTTAGGCCTAAGAGTATATATAAACAATCTCAACTTCTTGATGGTGTTATTCGATTTCACCATCCATGCTGTTTAGGTTTAAGAAGAGTTTATAACTTTCAGATTGCAGAGTGTGTACTTTGATAGAGGAGGGTTCACACTGAGTCAGACCAGAAGCCCATCTCGTTCTGCAGCCTGTCTCTGACAGCGGTCAACAGCAGCTGCCACGAGAAAGATAAAGCCAGTAGTAGTGACAAGTCCTCAGAAGAACTTTTCCAACCTTCAGAAACTTGGTTGCAGGACTTTGACAGCCAAAAAATACTATTTTTGCATTTAATAATCCTTAATGGGTTCCACTGTTTTATCTAAGAGTGTTGATATGTATTCACTCCACGGAAGATACCTGGAGATTCAGAAACAGATTTGAATATTCTGGTGTCAGGCATTATTATTTACACTGCTTAGCCAGGCAGCTACTGCTATCTAATATTATATTGCAAAAGGAAGGGAGCATCTGTGTCTGCTTGGAACTGGGCTGCTGGCTGCTCAACCACAGATCTTAACAGGTGGTGGCAAAAATAGTATGTACCATTTTCCTGCCTGCAGCTGGGAAGTCCTGATAAAATACAAAAAAATGTGTCTTATTTCATCATAGTCAGCTGAAATCATTGGAACTCTGCCGTGCCTGGATAAATTAAATTTTCTTGCTAAGGACAAAATTATTTCTGCGTGGAAGACTTGCTCCTGTCAGTGTGTTACTCAAACATGTATAGACAACACTGGATTGTGTGGGTGATGCAGGCAAATGTCACAGGCTTCCCGATTTAGCTTACGGCTACAATCTGCTCTTTGGGAGAAAACCAAGAGAGTGAGACAGATAGGATTCTGTTAGCAAACACGGTTAAGTTTAGGTTCTTCTCAGATAAGATTGATACAATCCCTTACACCCGAAGTTAAGGGAACATGGCTGTGAGTGCAAGTTGTACCTCCAAGTGCAAAGGATCTCAGCAGACTTGGGGTAGCCTCTCGATGAAGATCTCCTCATATAACCAGTATTCGTTCTTTCCGTACCCTTTGTAGTTTGGAGTTTGTTTTGGCTTTTTAACTTCATCAGGCCCAGGTTGAAGATACTTGGTCTGATAAAGGCGTCTTTAAGGATTGAAGTAATCTTTAATTAAAATTAAAATAACTGTATTAATTTATTTTTCCATTCTTTTCTTACTGTTTCCACAACCTTTTCCTATGCACTTCTCATATTTGATCTCAAATGAGAGAGTTATTATCATTCTTTTTACTTTTATGGCCATTGTGGTTTGAAGAGATCTACCCATATCCATTAATTACACTCATTTCATACGACTCTTCCAGATGGCTTATTTTGACCCACAGTCAAGTCTCTCTAAAAATACCTCTTGGCTGAGTAATTCTCAAAAGTGACTTCTTTCTAGGCCTAAAAAATTCAGTAGCAGAACATGAAGCCATCAACTAGAAGTACTTACTGATTTTAATAGAAAACATTTTATGTATGAATAACCTAGCAGGAAACTGGGTGTGAAGACATCTGTAACAAGAGCTGTGACTGTTACCTGGGCTTAGACTGTGTCTTTGACATACTAATGCCACCACATCCTCAAGAATTACAGGTGCTGCTGCTTTTCTAGCAGGGTGGAGCGTATATACACAAGTGTATGTCATGTTTTATATATATGCCTTTTATATATATATAATGTTATATATAAGATAGCCATTTAAACACTTGGCAAAAAGGCAAGTGTGTTTTAGGGAGGAGATACCAGAGAACATCTTAAGTCTAATTAAGTCTGTTACTTTTGCCTTGTAGGAGTTGGGTATTAACTGATGCCTTCTGCAGATTTGAAGGTGTTGTCTTCCCCCTTCTTTGTAGAATATGTGGAGTCTTTAGAATGGGAAAGTGGTGTGCTTATTAATTATTGCAGTGAGTCTGAATTCCTTAGGATTATAAAATCCTAGAAGAATTTCTCTTGCTTAGATTTCAGTAACAATTTCCCTCAGCTTCCCCACTTTTCCTTTTTTTTCCTTCCATCACACAAATATTTTTCAGTTCTCGCTTTGATTCCATACAAGCCTGATTTTGATCAAGTTGTTATTGCAGTTGTAAAGACTAGATGAAATATGTGTTTCTATTCAAGAATGTTAAAAGATAAGTTTTAGATTGATGCAGGCTAAGTGCACGTGCTGTCCAGGTTTCGGAAACTTCATTTTGAATTCACTTTAGATGCAGCATTTTCAGAAACATCCAGACTTACATGTTAAAATAGTGTACACTGAGAGTGCTGACACATGAATTTAACCTTAATTTCATTTAGTAAATCCTGGTTCTGTTTGGATTAAAATAGTGGGTTTTGTGTCAAAAACCACTTAGAGAGCAGTAAGTGGGTTTTTAGAAGGAAAGCTGTAAGGAAAAACTGCATTTCTCCTTGTTGACAATATAGCTGCTTATTTTTTTAAAAAAATCTGAAAGTACAGAAACAGTCTTAAGTAATGTCTTAAATATTGTTTTTTTAAATTTCAGGGCAGAAAAAGAGTTTTCGTCAATACCACGTTCAGTTTTTTGGAGATGCCCCAGAGCGAGCCTGGATATTTGAGAAGAGCCTTGTGCCTTTCAAAGAAAAAGACCAGTTTGAACAATTGTGCCAGGAAAGTGCAAAACAAGCCCTCACTAAAGCAGAGAAAATAAAGGTAAGAGGCTACCAAATAAGGTAAAACATTTTATTTTATTTTATTTTATTTTATTTTATTTTATTTTATTTTATTTTATTTTATTTTATTTTATTTTATTTTATTTTATTTTATTTTATTTTATTTTATTTTATTTTATTTTATTTTATTTTATTTTATTTTATTTTATTTTATTTTATTTTATTTTATTTTATTTTATTTTATTTTATTTTATTTTATTTTATTTTATTTTATTTTATTTTATTTTATTTTATTTTATTTTATTTTATTTTATTTTATTTTATTTTATTTTATTTTATTTTATTTTATTTTATTTTATTTTATTTTATTTTATTTTATTTTATTTTATTTTATTTTATTTTATTTTATTTTATTTTATTTTATTTTATTTTATTTTATTTTATTTTATTTTATTTTATTTTATTTTATTTTATTTTATTTTATTTTATTTTATTTTATTTTATTTTATTTTATTTTATTTTATTTTATTTTATTTTATTTTATTTTATTTTATTTTATTTTATTTTATTTTATTTTATTTTATTTTATTTTATTTTATTTTATTTTATTTTATTTTATTTTATTTTATTTTATTTTATTTTATTTTATTTTATTTTATTTTATTTTATTTTATTTTATTTTATTTTATTTTATTTTATTTTATTTTATTTTATTTTATTTTATTTTATTTTATTTTATTTTATTTTATTTTATTTTATTTTATTTTATTTTATTTTATTTTATTTTATTTTATTTTATTTTATTTTATTTTATTTTATTTTATTTTATTTTATTTTATTTTATTTTATTTTATTTTATTTTATTTTATTTTATTTTATTTTATTTTATTTTATTTTATTTTATTTTATTTTATTTTATTTTATTTTATTTTATTTTATTTTATTTTATTTTATTTTATTTTATTTTATTTTATTTTATTTTATTTTATTTTATTTTATTTTATTTTATTTTATTTTATTTTATTTTATTTTATTTTATTTTATTTTATTTTATTTTATTTTATTTTATTTTATTTTATTTTATTTTATTTTATTTTATTTTATTTTATTTTATTTTATTTTATTTTATTTTATTTTATTTTATTTTATTTTATTTTATTTTATTTTATTTTATTTTATTTTATTTTATTTTATTTTATTTTATTTTATTTTATTTTATTTTATTTTATTTTATTTTATTTTATTTTATTTTATTTTATTTTATTTTATTTTATTTTATTTTATTTTATTTTATTTTATTTTATTTTATTTTATTTTATTTTATTTTATTTTATTTTATTTTATTTTATTTTATTTTATTTTATTTTATTTTATTTTATTTTATTTTATTTTATTTTATTTTAAAGTTCCACCTCCATGTGAGGAAGAACTTCTTTCCTGTGAGGGTGACAGAGCCCTGGAACAGGCTGCCCAGAGAGGTTGTGGAGTCTCCTTCTCTGGAGATCTTCAAAACCCACCTGGATGCCACCCTGTGCCACGTGCTCTAGGTGTCCCTGCTGGAGCAGGGGGGTTGGACTAGATGAGCTCTAGAGGTCCCTTCCAGCCTTTATGATTCTCTGACTGCACTGTAGAGAAAATAGTTTAACCTTCACATGCCTTAGGAAGTCTGTTTGAGGTATAAAAAAACAGTGCTGCTGTTCAAACCTATTACTATAACTCAGTGTTATCGTCATTTGTCTTCCTGTAGCCCTCTGCTCCATTTGCAGTACAGTTTTGTGCACCAAAAGAGGCATGAGTTTCGTGTTTTCTTGCATATTCTACAGTAATATACTCATAAAGCGCTCATGAAGTTAGAGGTGCCTTCATACTGTCGCTCTTTAGCTGTTGCGTGTTTGGCTTTGTTAAAGTTTACTAACACAAAACTCTTTCAATAGTTGTGAACTTTACTAAGGAAAACTGAAAAACAGGTTCTGTTAAATGGAGGTAAACTAGCTGTAGTTCAACATAGAATCACAAGATCATTGCAGCTTCAGCTAATGGGTCTTTCCTGCAGGTCAGCCACTGAATGTGAACATAGGGTGCGTGTACTTTTTAGTGGCTTTGGTTAAATTGAGAAGAAAATTGCCAGTTCAGTTTGCTGACTCTGAAAAGGAGTGGGTTTAAGCCAGGGTATTAAATACAGATCTGACACACTCATTTTGAAAAAGCTACATGAATAAAAAACATGTCTCTCAGTGGAGACGTGAGCTGTGTTTCCAGTTGTTCTAAAAGGGACCTTGTGCAACCAGTATCTTTCTCTCTGTAAAATAGCGGGGGGGATTTCCTTGACCCCTAAGGTATGTGGCATGAGGCCTCGTGCAATAAGGGATTTGAAATTGCTAACTTTTCTATAGTAGAGGTGAAGCTCCAATTGGTGTTACAGAATCTACAGATGCGTTAGCCAGACACGTCTTGCCATAGGAATTGCATCTCTGATATTTTTATTATCAAGTTTTGCTTCGTGCCGTGAGTAAACTGCAGTTTTAATAGAAAAAAAAAAGGAGTATTATTTGACATCAAAGAATTACTTTTAAGTTTCATTTTGAAAAACTGAAAATAGGCTTAAACTTGGAAATTGCAGTGGTCGTGGTGGCTAACATTCTGTAGAATTCTATGCAGAAGATGAGTTCCAAAATATTACATATATTTCAAGATATACTAGTTCTGCCTATAATGTCTATTAGCAAAATTAGGCATGAAAAAACCAAGTCCACAGGATTATGATCTTTTATACTAGATATGGAATCAGTTCTGTACAGAGAACACAAAAGGGCGATGGAAATGTCACATGACAGATTGAGAAAGCCCTTTGATCTAGTCAGAACGTGTCCTCCTCCTCTCTTGATCTGAGGTTTCCTCACAAAGGGGGATATATTCATGCTTCGTGCATTGCTACCTAAACTTAGAGAACTTAGGTTCACTTCAGACATGTCATGTTGCTCTAAAAATGGGAATTGAAGACGATATAAAAATGACAGCGAAGATTGCAGCCAAGCTAGTATTTGGTGTTTCCCTTCTGCTGGGCCTGTCTGGCTCCGCTTGTGGGGTTTGCTCTCCATCCAAGAGTTGGGTTTGCTGCGGCTCTAGGTGCTCTGATAGTTCTGAGGGGATGGTAATGTTAGCTAAAAAAATCAGCTGTCTTGTTGAGAGGTGCTTGTCTGGCGAGTATCTGAGCATCTAAGTGTGTCGTTATTTTAGTTCTTCCTTTAGGTGGGAGAAAAGAAAACTGAATCCAAAAGAGGCTCTCTGGCCTCCAGGCTGTAGAGGGAAGGAAGTAAATGGAAAGGAATGACTAAAGACCTGCCTTCTCCTCACCATGAGGTGTCTGAAAACCAGAGCTGTGTCTACTGTGCCTTGCTTGGAGCCTGGATTTGTGAATAGTGGGGTTCAGTAGTTGCTACTTTCTGTGTTACTTTTTTTCTGGGCATGGGAGAATACGGGATCGTTAATTCATTCGTTTGTTTTTTTTTTTAAAAAAAAAAAAAAAGAAACAATTTCAGAAGTGGGGCTTATGATTGAAGAGTTCCGTGTGTCTAAGTGCTGAGCTTCCGGAGTGAAAGTTAGATAATTTGCTTGGATTAGGTGGTAATTAGACTGGGCAAGTACTGTGTTCTCCACCTCTGTAGTAATATCAACTCCTGGGTCCAAGAGAGGATCTTCCATATGTCCTTGTAGCACAGTTGAATTTGGCAAAGGCCAGTGTGAACGTGCACGTACATCATGGTGCCAGACACAACATCTTCCCTACATATGCTGGGAATGAGGCATTATCGTGTGAAGATTTGGGGAGGAACTGCTGGGCATTTGCCTTGGATTGCTGCTCTGTGCGAGCCCTGCAGAGCCATGGGGTTCCCTTGCCTGTCGTTTCTCAGGGCTCTGATTAAGAGGTCTCTTTTGTTGCTGATTTGGGGGTTGGTTTGGATTTAATCCATGTTTGGGTGGGACTAGAGATGATGTTAGACTGTATCTTGTTTGTACAAATGAAGTACTTTGTTCGACAGCGGCAAGTGTGGTGTGAAGACACTAAATTTGAGGAATCAGACTATTATTTCCTCACAGAATATTAGTATTTCTGGTTTGTTGTTACTGTTTGAACAGCTGGCTTTGACCTAGTTTTGTTCATGATCTACTTCATGATTTGGGGTATTGGTTGCTTCCATCCTGTAACAGTTGCGATTTTGGAGAATGTTTGATAATTGGGTTCTGGATGTGAAAAGTTTGTTTCAGTTCTCTAGATTCTAACAGCTTTCCGGCTTCTGTGTTTTATTAAGGCTGATTTTCCTTGAGTAGAACTATGGAAATCCTGAAGGAGTTTTGTTTGTTTTGTTTTCAATGTTGGATTTTGTATTTGTATTGAATAGGTTTCCCAGAAGGTCTCTGGACTTCCCCATTTACAGCTATTATGTGTCATGCTTATATTGTTTAAAAAAAAAAAAATGCACAGTTTGAGTTCCTCATAGTTCAAAATAATGCCTTAATGAAGTAACTTAGGAAAACATCGAGTTAGATGCAGTTTGTGTGAATTTATTTGCTAAGTTAGGTATAATTAGCTCCCCTGTCAGTTGATGGACAGCCTTGAAGGCAAGCATATATTTATGCCAATATTGCTTGCCTGTTTGATTTATTGTGGCATAGATTCATTAAGAAGTTATATGAATCTTTTGTCTGTCACAAGACTTATACCTGCTCAATTTTCTGAATGTTAAAAGACAAATACTTTCAAAATGATTTGTAATACATCTAACAATTTTGGAGAAAGGTATTTGTTTAAAAATTCTGGATACACCTGTTTGAATCTAATTTTGTCTACAGCAGAAAAATTAAGTAATTAATCGGTATCCAGTTTTCCAAAGCAATAAAAATATGTATACCATTCTTTTCAATGGTCACCTTTTCTTAATACAACCCTATTTCTGCATGTATAGGTGGTTGCTGAACATCCAGATGCTTCAAGTGATGAGATTGAAGAACTGCTTGAATCGCAGTGGAACATGCTTAGTGAAAAACAGAAAGCTCGCTATAACACAAAGTTTGCCATAGTGACCTCTCCCAAATCTGAAGAAGACTCTGGTAAACGTAAAACTGTGCTAGTGTACTCTAACTAAATTTGATATACATAGTGGTGTTAAACTAAGCACATATTTCAGACCTGTAAGGAAAACAGCTTTCACTGTTTTCCAGTTTTAATTCTTGGTGTTTGTGCCAATAGCAAAGGAATGCCAATGGTTACAATAAAAGCAACCCATGAAGTCTACATTTCTTGCTCATTGTTCTGAAAAGTTGTTATATGTAAACTTTTTGCTGTTTAGAGATTTCTGATTTCTCATTCTTCTTCTGCCCATAAGCAGCTGCCATTGCATCCACTGCCTGTTAAGGGTGGATGCTGGAAAGGGAAGACGGAGTGTTATTACTAGTGTAAAACTTGAGTTGTGTTTTTATAGAATAGCTAGGAAATGATTCATAAAGTCTAATCAGTGCTACCCCTTTTCTTCATATGAATATCTAAAGTATATTACCTCATATCATCATCAACTCAGGAAGAAGTCTCCCAAACTTTATTCCGAATCTTTCATCCATTTGGCATTTTATTGTGCTTCTCAAAGCTTTTAGGACATTGTACAAGACTGCACTTTTTTTTTCTCCTCTTTTTTTTGTTGCTGTTTTCTAGAATTGAGTTTTGTTGAATGGTCTTAACTATTTTACAAAATATTTGAAGTGGTTTGGAGTCATCTCTCTGAGAAAGAAGAAGGAAGATAGTTTTGCATTTGCATGAACTTTATCAAATTTAAGTAACTAGCATTTATCAAATTTAAATAGCTTTACAGCACTGTAAGAAGACCTGCTATGGAAGTATTAGAAACCAACAGGTGCTGCTTTGGGCAATGACAAGAATGAGAGGGAGTGTTTGAAAGTTTGTGAGACTTGGAAAAATGTATAAAAAATGGCAGTCAGTTTTGTTACCTATCTGTGTGTGTGTGAAATAACATCATTTTGTGGAAAATTGAAAAGTTTTTAACTTTAAATTTTAAGTGTCAAATATTTGGATATCAGTTTAAAAAAAAAAACACATTCTGTATCTCTCAAGGTTCATCATTGAAGAATATTGGAGAGGCCAAACGTAAAGTGTTTCAAGACTCACCTAAAAGGAGATCAAGATCCAGAAGTAATTGAAATTTGTGTTGTGTGCAAATAGTTCATCATTATAAGTAGCTATTAAGTGTATTTTTTTATGTAATCACCCACGTATCATAATCTCTTTATTTTATCTCAGATGTTGTCTTCCTTGACGTTAGAATTTTAATGGATCCCACATTAAATATCTAAACACTGTAGTGCTGAATTTTGTTCACCTTCCTCAGTGTCATATTGCAAGAAATGTAATTGAAATTGTACCTGTACCAGGTGTTTCTAGTACATATATTTGTGTACATTTATAGTTCTCTATGAATGAAAATATGTCAGTTCAATCGTTTCCCCACCCAAATCTACCTATCTTTAACCTGGAAAAATACTGTGGGGTTTTTTTTTTCTTTTTTTGTCTTTTTTGTCTTTTTTTTTTTTTTGCTGGCTTTTTGTAAGTAGCAGGTTCTCCTGGAGCCATTCTATTCTGGTCTGTTTTGTGGATTCAGAGTTTGATAATAGACTATATCCTAGATTGTTTAGAGATGAACATTAATTGGAAAATAATCCGTATTTTTAAGTTGCTCTATTTTTAATATTTGCAACTATTTGTTGTTGGACTGGAATGCTTCTAGCTCTAGGGCAATTCTCAGCTAACCTGTATGTGCCCCTGGAGCTTCTCATTAATGCTCCGTAGCCTCCAAACTGGAGAGTACCAGAGAGTGCAATGATGTTGTCATTGCATCGGATGAGACAGGGCACTCCTAAACCTTCCTGTAGCTCTTAGAGTGAGTGCAGGCAATAGCTGCAGTTATAGGAGGGCTACGTAGCTTAGTCGCTGACCCGTTGTAATTCAGGCAGCTGCTTGAACTGTGCAGGGGATGAGCACATAAATGTGTGAATAGTCGGTGTGTTGCTTTAACGGGGCCAAAGCGAATCTGTTCTTAGGATTTTGGTTCACAAAGAAAGGGGATCTAATAGTCTCCTGTAAAACATGAGTAAGCTTGTTAGAGCACATCTGGAACTGCCATACCAGAAAGAGGCAATTAATCTATATGGTTGGTGATATCTTGTCTTTTCCAGAGGCTTCTTAATAGATGTCTCCAGTATCTTCATCTGTATCATTTGAAGAACTCCTGAAGGAGACGTAAAAATTCGGTTCAGTGATAAGACACTGTTACAAAGTGGCAGAAGAGTTAAAAGCTGTGTAGATGAAGCATGTGCAGTCTGACGATATGAAACAAATGTGGGGTAGTAATATTCAGATCTTAAACTAGTGCTTATACAGGTAGATTCATCTTTCTAAAATAAGTTGAGTATTAAGCAGTTAGTCTGGATGTGTTCTAGAACTGGCCTTAGCAACCAAAACCAGACCTTAAGTGTTAAGAGGTCATTAAACTGTTAATGCATAACCATGTTTTAAAAGTAATGATTGAAAGAGAAGTAACTTAATTAGATCAGTTCAAAATAATTTCAAAGTGGGTTTTAGATTATTTTTCATGTAAGTTTCCCCCATCCCCCATCCCAAGGTAACTTACATGGAAATAAAAGAAACCAAAAAAAGAGGACAAAGGAACCTACAGAAGATTTTGAAGTTCAGGAACCACCTAGGAAAAGACTCAGGATGGATAAACAGAATAATCGGAAGGTAATTATATTGTTGGTTTGTTTGGGTTGATTTATAGCAGCACGAATCACATTGCTGTAGTTAAGTTTGTCAGCATTTCCATTTTCAGGATAAAAAAAAAAAGTAATTACCTATATCAAACCATACTGTCATACTATTGTGAATTTTTCAGAGATATATGTGAGCTTGTTCCTGTGGAGTGGTGTTTTTTCTTCTTTTTTTCTTTTTTCTTTAGTTTTGAGGAAGGAAGCACGACAAGTTGCTCTTGCTACTTACGCTGTGGTGGGAAATATTTGCTGAGAAAGTTCAGTTCCCAAAAGAAGGATGCAGAGGCATGATCTTTCAGCATCACCATGCCTTACAATTCTTTCTTTCACTGTGAATCAGAATTCAGAGATGTGTACAAAAATGGAAAAAAAAAATCTTTAAAATTTTCATCACTGCTTGATTTAGACAAATGGCGGGGGGGGAAGGCAAGTAAAGCAAACAGAAAAACTGTTTTTTTATAACCTTAAAACTATAAAAGCATTTTAGCCTGGCATGCTGTCCAACTTCTCAAATTACAAGATTGCCATATAGGTTACAGTATATTTGCCGTGCAAATCACAGGCTCCTTTTTGGATTGACGTGCTTGAGAAAATGAGAGATTTAGTGGCCTAGATCACTAGGCACAAAAACAGTATATGTGGATGACAGTCCAAATCTTGCAGACACTCTGGCAGTGTCTACAGTAGACCAGTGAACTTGGTGGGTTTCACAAGTATTTTCAGGGGTGTTCCCACAGTATAGGCCTGTGAATCCTGTCTCAGGGCTTCAGAGGTACAGTGGTTAAATAAAACGAATACAGGAAAGATAATAGATGTAATTTTAAACAAAGTATGGAAGTCGCATTTATGGGTGTCTGTGTTTGGTAGGCATGTTATAGTAGTCAACTGTTTAACTTTCAGCATCATGGATATCCAGGCAATTTGTATAGGGTTCAATATATAAAATATGCAGAATTTCAGCTACCTCTTAGAGAACTCTTACCTTTTCAGAAAGAGGGACCAAAGCCAGTTTCTCATACTTTGTTCTAAGAAGTTAGTTGCTGAATATTTTGTTTTATGTTCTAGGAGGTTTGGGGCCCTTTTTGAACTTGCCCATTGGTTTGTATTAACTGTCATATACTGGTAACAAGTAGATTTATTTACTGTAATTACTCTCTTATATGAAGCCTCCATTTTGTCTATCACAAAAACAATTTCTTTACTATCCCACTGCAGCTGGGATGCTCCAATTAGCATAGATTACCACAGGTAGAATAAATAAGTGTAGTCCATACAGAGGAAGTTCTAGTATCTTTAATGCTATAATTCAGATGTGAATATTAGCAGGAAACAAAAGCTAACAGTTGAGGCAAATGGCCCTAATAAGATGCATACCATTAATGCTCTTTACTTAGTAATGTGTCAGGTACCTTTTAAAACAGAAGACCTTAATTTACCAGTAATTACTTACAAGGAATTACTTACAAGGAATACTTGTTTAAAAAAAAATTTTTTTTTGAAAATATTTGGAAGCTCTAAATGCATATTGTTTGTTGCACTTCTCTTTGCAGAAGGGTCCAGCATAGTATAGTTGATTTCCCATATCTTTTATAAATTGCCGTGTAGTCTTTTTCCTACCTTCACCAACCCAGGGTGCTTCTAGCTGTACCTGCTACTGCTGAAGTTAAGGGAAAATTGTGGCTGTCAGCAGGATGGCTACGTAGTGATTTCAAAAAACCAACACTAACAATTCACCTTTCTTCCATTAGCTCCAGATCACTTGCAGACTTCTACTATCATCTTTTTGAATAGTGAGACACTTTAATGATTTTTCAGGACTTCTTGCGTCAGAATTAGGCATATTCTTTTCCTTTTTGTGTCTTTAGTTACTATTTAAGAAATCTGAATGCTATAATACAAAGCGACTAAGTCATAAGGAGTAAGTAGGAATGTTCTGAAAAGTCCTTTAGTTCATGGTGTGTATAAAACACTCCTTACACAACAGGGATTCTGCAAATGATGTTTTGAACTATGAGCGAATTATGCTCTACGTTTTTCAGTCATTTTTACACTGTAAAAGTAGCCTTACAAACTGGTATTGGTAGTTTCCGGTGTTGTCAGTGATAGGTGTCTTAGTCTACTTGGAGGTCAGTAAAAGTGCAGTGTGGAACATCTGTAGTACAGTAGCCATTCATGTTTATTTTGCCAAAGCTAACCTGTTTTCTGGTGTCTAATGTGTTCACCTGAGCATCTTTTATAAAATTGTCAGATGAAGAATATGAAAAAAATGTGTGTAAAATTTTATGTTCTGTCGAGTTGTTCTTGTTGATGAGGTGAGCGTTTGTCGGGGTTAAGCATTCTTGGCTACAGTTTCAGTGACTTTTTATTTTAATGAATCTGTAACAAAAAAAAAAACCCTATAAGTAGTAGTATGGTGTTTAAGGAGCAGTGTCTTATTTTGACAAAGCTTAATGAGAATTCCCCCGATTTTGGCCTAAGCATCTTATAATATGAGGCGGGAGCAAATTTATGCAGCACATATGCTCTCTGGAAAATAGTACTTTTTTATTTTGGAAATGCTGGAACAATCTTAACCATAGTAATAAAAAAAAACACTTCTATAGGTTGTAAAGTTGAAAGAAGCATCTGAGACTTAAAATTCTGCACAGAGTTTATTCTCGAATTTATATACTACTTAAGGTTTTAATTTGACTAGTTTAGACAAAGCAGAGTAAGGATAATTTAAGTGTTTTATATAGAGCTCCCCTTTTTTCATATGCTGAGTTTGGGTTGGATAAGTGGGATGCTGGAATACTATGTACTTGAATTATTCTCATTTGTTTATGGGTTTGTACCCTGTGCTGTAAATGAGTTCTTAAAAATTACTAGAAGGGGGATAGCTCAACTACATTGCCATTTAGATATTTGTAAAGACACTTTCTTTTTAATAACATAAATCCAGAAGTAACTGCCAGTTTTATCCAACCACTCATAAATTAGGAGTTTTTTTATTTTTTCATATTTTTTTTTGTGACAGAGGGAGACAAGCAATGACAAAACAGCAAAAACAAACTCTACTAAGGTCACAGAAACCTCCTCTTCACAAAAGAACCAGTCAGGTAATGTGGTCAGAATAAGTTCTAATGTAACTTTTTCAGTTAAATAATTTAAACAGGTTGGCTGAGGCAGCCAGCTAAATTTTGTTGAAGCAGTAACAAGTTACAGCCACTAAGCCACAGTTGGGGGGTGGATTGTACCCTCTTCCTTCACTACCACCATTTTGCAGCATTTACTTGGTGGGAATTGTGCATTGCTGATCTAGAGCAGCAGTTCACAAGTTCACCATTTGATGGCACCAAATTAAAGCTCTTGCCCAGTGGTCTTCAGATCCTACTGCTCAGATTTGCAGTTGTTCATTTGTCTAGTAAAAGAAGCATCGTGACCATCAACCCATCAGTTACCATGCAGTCCTAGTCCTTTCAAATGATGCTTGATGGGAGGCAGTGTGGAGTGTGAGAGGGAATTCTGAATAATCTTGTACCAAAATCCCAAGGCCAGCCTTGCTCATGATGCTCGGTTTAAGGTAACTTCCATAAGAGCACATGTCTTTAGGTATTATATTGAAATGCCAAAGCTGAGAAAGCTTCAGAATGTAGAAATGCCATAGATAATGTCTGCTACCTGCTTCCAGGTACCATATACACCTGGAGGTTCCATATATGAACTTTCTGTTACCAAAATCTTAGCAATACTTGGATTGTGATGAACTCACACAGGCTTTCTAGTGTTTATCTAGATAACTGTTACCTCTGCTTTAAAGAGGTCTTAAGTGAGAAGACACATTGATTTGAATAGCAATTAATAAAATAATTTGGGGAAAATATTTCTTAACCATTTTATAGTACTTGTTCTGTTTAATAGAATCTTCTTTATTTTTAAAACCAATCCAAAACACATGGTATCAGAAACTTATTTCATGTTCTCTCAGGCCTATGTAGGTGCCCAGAAGACCTACCTAAATCATTCCTTCCTTTATCTGAAGGAATATTTTAAATGGCTTCAGGGAAATAACATTTTAAAGTTCCAAACTTCACTTTGTAAACCAAAATTATTTTACAGCAACGAAAAATCTGTCTGATGCATGTAAACCTCTGAAGAAGCGAAATCGGGCTTCAGCTGCAGAATCTTCAACTCTTGCTTTTAGCAAGAGTTCATCTCCTTCAGCTTCCTTAACTGAGAATGAGGTAAAAAAAAAGTGGTGTTTGCACACAGCCATTTAATAACAGAAATTTTCAGGCGTGAATCTTTTTGTTTAAAAGCAAAAAAGAAAACGAAAAACAGGCGAATTCTCTAACCTTGGTGCTCTAGAGAAGTTACAGTTCTGGCCTCTGTGAAACCTGTTAACGTGTGCATTGCAAATTCATTTATTGTAACAAGAACGTCTGATTTGGGGACGTCAAGATTTTGTTGTCGTTTTTAATGTATTTACCAACAAAGTTTTAGAATTGTAACCTTCTATTAGAGGCAAAGTAAAATGCCACTGTGTTCTGTATTTTCTTCTACAGACTTTATGTAAGTGTACTACATTAGTTACATTATGTAACTCAATATTGTCATGTTGCCATAGCTTTTATATTGAAGCAAGTTTCCTAATCCTGTGTTTGATTTAGAACTGGACATTTCTTCTGAGCAGAGCCCCTTTAATCTCAAATTAGTTTTCAGACTGTTCAAGTGCTATTTCTCTGTGATGCAAATAGCTTCATCGCAAACAGGCAGTGAAGGATGTATCTTTTTGATACTTACTAATCATAGTCCTAGCTCTGCATATTGGGTACTGTAATTCTCCTCAAATGACATACAATAAATGAAACGTATGTACCAGAACTGTATTCATACAATCAATTAAACCATTTTCCAAGTCATCTTTGCTATTAAAACCAATCGGCCAAAGAGTGGCAGCATGAGGATGAAGTATGCATGCTGTTTTGCAGGTGGATCTGAAAATCTAGTTAGTAGGATTTAGTAAAATATCCATAGGCAGACAGCTTCAAGCAGTTTGTATTACAGAATTTGTAGGAAAAAATAATAATTCCTGCTAACACGATAGTAGGGCTTCCAACGATCCTAGAGATCCTTTCATCTCCCCTGTCTAACAAAAGCATGAGGTGCGTAGACACCATAACGAATGCAGTAAAAATATCTAGACTATGTTCATTAAATGGTTTTACCTTTTAAAGAAATGCATGTTAATGGCTGTATGTCTTACTGTGACAGAACACCCTAAATTCTCCCTCCAGTGCCCCAGTAAAACAGACAAAACAAGCCCTATAGGAAATATTTTCTAGAGCAGTAGTGAAATAATGTAATACTTTCTCTACTGAGAGACTCCTGTCTGTTGACTTAGAGCTTCTGCTTTTTTTGACTCTACTACTGGGTCTTGCAGTCTAATGGCTGTGTTTGCTTGGGACCATCTGTTCAGCCAGATCCATTAAGGGAAGTTACTATCCTTTTGACTGGAAATGTACAGCTCTAAGTGTTGTTAACTCATGAGAAATGTTCTTCTGCTCCTAAATACCATATTTAAAAAGTGATATCTCCCAAAATCTCTCTATAAAATGCCCTTTTTTTTGGTAGAACTTTGGGTTATAACTAATGGTTCAGATAAGAAAATGTAGTACCATAGGCTGAGTTCTTAATTTACTTGGCTACTGCTAAACATCAAAAAACACAGGAGGAAAATTAATATGTATGCCGCTCATAAACACAGATATACAAATCGGGAAGTAAACACATTGTTCTTAAGGGTTTAAAAGGTTTTAAAACACCAAAACAATTCCACCAACATAACAGAAAATATACCCTGGCAAACAACTGATTTTGGCAGGGAAAAAGAGTTTACAGTGGGCTGATTTAAAGCTTAGCTGATTTAAAGCTAAACTGATTTGAACTTAACACCAGCTAAGTGCTAGAGCCAGTGGTTTTTATTGGATATATTCTACCTTTGGCTAAAATAAAAATGAGAGGTATGTGTTTCTGAACTTACTGGTGATCCGTTCTACAAAACGAGGAAAAATACAAATAAATTTTGGAACCTTTGGGTAGCTTTAAAACCTTTTGTTCCCTTTTGTAATGTTATTTAGCAGTTGTCGAAATAGCTGTGCATATGTGTGGCCTGAAAGCGTTCCTCCAGGGAAAGAAATCCCCAGTGTGCTGAGGGAAAAGAGCTCGAGAAAATAAACAGAGATGAAAGTCCTCCTCAGTCAACTCAATAGGATGTAGTTGTTCTCAACGTGAAATACACTTGATAATTCACTTTTATATTTTTATGTTCGCTATTATACTTCTAAACGTAGATTTAGATGCTGTCTTAACAAAGATTTAAAAAAAAAAAAAAAAAAAGCATATCCCACAAGCACATACAACTCTGCAATATTAAGGGGATTCTGGCCTTTTGCTGCTTTAATTTCACATTACATGTGAACAGCTGGCTCCAAAGTGGAACGCAGAAATTAAACTGTTACCTGTCAATGGTTGTTGCTAGTTGCATATAGCTCCTCTTAAATGTCAGTTCACTGGAACTGAGTTTTAGGACAGGTGTGTTCAATAAGAAGGATGTGTTCAATTTTTCCTCATTTGAATGATGCATCTAATTTGATAAAACCCTCAGAATTTTGGATGCTTTCTGTTGTTATTGAGGACTTTACGTTGGGATTTGCCGTAAGATGGAAGGAAAAAAAAAAAAAGAAAAAAGTTTAGGCCAAATTTTCTGGCAAGAAGTGGCTTTGACTATCTCAATTTGAAGGAGGGGAGGTCTTTTGCCTTAAAGACACAAACATTTGCAGACTTGATGTATCAAAGGCTTTTCCTCCCTTCTAAAAATCGGGTTCTTTTGAGGTGTTCTAAGATGGATGAACAGAATCAGTAGTCATGTGTTTTGTTTATGTGTGTTCCTTTTTTTTTTTTTAAGTTGCTAGGCAAAACTTAGTAGTATCTGAATTCTTATTCAGTATTTAAATGAATAAATCCATTCTTTCATTTAATCATGAGACAAAGCAGTTAATTTTACATGTCAACACTTAATGTTAGTAGTGCTTTCCTCCAAAACTGTCTCTGAAATACAATTTCATTTAAAATCTAGTTCTTAATGACTAACTGGTAGTAGGTTGGAATGCAAGAAAGATGCTCAACACTTCCAAGTCTTCAAAAAATCAGAATATTGCTTATTGCCTACACAAGGCTTGGTATAACTGTAAAGGCTTGTGGTGTTTTTGAGGAGAGATGCAGGTAGTGTGTTCTCATTTTGCAAGATAAACCATTTTTTTAATTTTCTGCCTCCTCATTCCCTTTTCACCCCCCAGTAATTCAGTAGGTGCCAGTATTTTTAATAAATATAAAAGGCTTTGCATTACCATTACTGATGGTTTATTGGCACACTTTGTGTGTTTGCATGAGACGTATCTGCTCTAGCTTTTCAATCAATTTTTGTGGCTGTTGGCTGGCTTCATTAAATTGGATGGATTTGTTGATAGCAGATAAGTGTCATAATATCCTGCAGGGCCTAGATACTGCTCTGAGCTTTGTCAAATAAATTGTATTTTTTTTTAAGAGAGCACGAAATAAAGAACATGTAATACTCTGAATTCCTAGCTAGTCTGTCATTCCTCATACCCCCATGAAGTATGAGCTGACCAGCAGATGGCAGTTGAAAGAAGCCTGTGAAAGATTTTAAGGTATTGCTTTTAACGTTTGTATCTTCCACAGAGGGAATTTTTACTTCTTTCTGTAACATTCAGCGTCAATCAGACTTGCATGCTGGTTATAGCTACAACTTCGCCCCTTACCAAAGCCTAACAATGGCCTAAAGTTTGGCTGTTTCTGTGCATATTAATATTTTTGTCAATACTGGTTTGAGGCAGACTTGTTAATAGCTGTATTTGTAAATGGGTACTAGCATAATGGAGAAGACATACCAGTCTTAAAAGGTAAGGTAATTGGTTCAAGGAGGCAGGCATCATTAGACACGTAGAACTTGCAACTAAAAAATGTCAGCTTCGTTATCAGCACCGGAGTCTAGTTGCCTTACAGTATACAGCTAAAAGTTTCCTAAAAGTAGAAGTAACTCTTTGAAATCCTAAGAACAGGAAGGAAGAAGGACATTCATGATATTTTAAAGAAACTACTGCCCTAAAAGGAAATAAATAAGTAAATGGCTAATCTTGCAGTTTGTGAAACAAAATCAGTGTGCTTCTAGCACATCGGCTTCCTTCGGAGGTAATTCTGTCTACAAAGCAACGCTTAGGAACAATTTAATACCCAGTGTCACTTGAAATTCTCTGTGACTTACCAGCAAGTTGTTTTCTATATTTGTCCTTGTATGCCTTACAGATTGCTCTTTTCTAATTATACCACCAGTAACCAGTCAGGAGTATGTTTTTGTGGAACATTGCAAATAATTGGACTTGTTTCTTATAAACCTCTGCTAAAACCTCTAATAATTGAAACGACCTACATTGCCCACCAGCCGGTATTGTTATGATGCTTCCACTTTCACATGGGGAAAAAATACTTCTAGGCTTGAATCTTGTTTTTTGGCAGCACATTCTGTGTAGAAAATTAAGGTTTTTTATGTAATTATTCTCACCTTGTGTATTACTTAGGTTTCAGAGTGCAGAGATTCTGTTTGCTGAATGTTTACATAATGTAGGTTTTCATTCCACATCCCAAACCAAAGTTTCATGAGTATCTGTAGGCAATTTTATAATGTTTAAAAATGTTCTCAGAGTTATAATTAACTTTCCAGGCAAATTCAGAAATGCATAATATCCTTATCTGAAACGTCTAACTACTGCTAATAATAAAAATGAAACTTGTCCCAGGCCGTCTTTTTGCTATTACAGTACTGTGTACACTTGTGGCACCGCATACTTAAAGAATTTATCTAGTCTAGCAGTTTGGGCCAAAATATCATTCTTCAGTTCAGGAATTCTTATACTGAAATAAAGGAAATGTTAACTGTAACTCAATTGACTCTGTCAGTTTTTCTGTCTCCGTGTGGGTGCACAAGAGATTCTTTGGAATACAGTCTGATCCGATGTTTGTGTGCTGCCTAATGACCTCTGCGTAAGCTGTCCTTAGACCCAAAAAAGGGAGAAGGCCCTCCAGGAGCGAGCTGTGTTGTTAATAGGATGAAGGTGCAGCTGGTGTTTCCCCGTAGGAAAGGGTTGGAGTTGGCTGCCCGGAATGC